AATTAAATTTGGAGAGAGAATGGAAATGAAAGGGGAGAAAAGAAAAAAAAGAGAAAAGCATGAGACTACAGCATGTGCTTTTGAAATGCAGACAGGCAGATGAGATGCTGAAGCACATTTACCTCAGTGTGGCGGAGCTGCCTTCCGACTCCATTCACCCCTCCTCTACCTATCCATCCTGCCTGCTCACAAAACCATGACCTTCACAATTTATAGAGAGGAAACCCCCGAGAGTCACGTCATATTTTAAAACGTCCTCCTCTTCTTCTTTCTCTCTTCTTCTTCTTTTTTTCTTCTTCTCCTCTCTGCTGCTGCTGCCACAATAGAGATTTGATAAGCTCGATTTACATGGAGGCCTGTTATGATCTGCTGCTTTTGTTTGGCTCTGATAAATATTCTGATGTCGAGAGAAAAGGAAAAAAGAAAAGTGTCCTGTGTGTAGTGCGTGTATTAATACATAAACCTGCACAATAATAATAATAATAACAATAATAATTATAATAAAAACAATAATAGGACGGTGTATTTGTTGTGTGTAATTAGGAGGATTGGATTTTGCAAATAAAAACAGCCAAAATTACTATTAAATAAATTAGAATTAAATTGAATTTAAATCAAATTAAACCCAAAATACTATTAAATTTTATTTTTCTGGAATTTATATTAAGTTTAAAATGTATTATTCTAAACAAGCTTGAAATTATCTAATTTAAAAAAATAAAAAACACACTTTCCCCCTTCCACACTGCTCATGGAGCTAAAGAAGAGATGAATGAAAGGAAATACAGAACACCGTACTTACAGTAAAATAACACTAACAGTGACGATCAAAAGTCAGAACCAGACAGAAGGATATTTTTTTCTGGGCGTCTCTCCCTCTCTTTCTCTCTCTCTCTCTCTCTCTCTCTTTTTTCTTCCTTCTCCTCTGCAGCAGCAGAGATAAATCCATGTAGACGTGGAAGAGGAAGGCTCCCTGTGGAGAACAGCTCAGAATAATCCATATTCATGCGCTCGACACGTGGAGTAAATATGAAAGGGGAACCATTGTGTGTATGCACATTTCCACCAGGTCAGGATGAGCCTGACACCGAACCTGCTATACATTTTCCTGACTTGAGTCCCCCTCCTTTTATTTTGTTTTCTTACATGTTGTAAGCAGAAACACGTTGGAGTTAAAATTTACGCACGGTACAAAAGCCATTAAAAGCGTGTGTATGTAATTAAAAAGTGAGCTCAAGTGTGTGTTGGCTATATATAAATGCACTCGCAGCATTATAAATAATTACATTTATAGCTACATCTATTTAAAAAAAAAACAAAAAAAACGTCTCCAAACACACACACACACTCGTGCGTAAAGTTCGCTCCAAACTCCACCACAGTGTAAACCTTACAAACACGCGTTTTATGATATTATTTGCTCAAGCAAGGATGAAATATAAATCTGCGCAATTAGAGGTTTTTAAAAGAAATAAATTAGATTGATGCACTTTAAGTCACTGGCAGATTGAAAGGCCGCTGACAGCCACATGCAATATTAATAATACGCGGGCATCAAAAGTTTGGTTTTATAGGATAAATCTGGAGTCCCTCCACTTCCCCCCGCTGAAGTCTTGTTTTAAAGAGCAGAGCGGTGTGACAACGAGCAGCTTTAATTAGTGCGAATGGGCGCGACGAGCCTGTTGGGCCACTGGCGTCCTAAATCAATAGCAAGAAGGGGGGGAGAGAGAGAAAGCAAAAGTGCTCCCAGGGCCTGAAACGTACACGCACACACACACATGCGCGCAAACCTGCCGTAGAAACGCACACCCATGCTGCTGCCAACATGGTTTTTGAAGACCCATGAAAAAAGGCAAAGCTGTTGGAGAATAGGCGGATCAAAACCCATTATGAGATTTGAAACTCTTTTTTTTTTGTGCCCTTGGTTTAAAAAAAAAAAAAAATCTCTCACTAGATATTTCTGCACAATCCGAGCTGCTGCTGTGTGTTTTCTTTTCTGGATCCATATGCGTGCACAGTGTAAATGCACAGGCGATGGGATTTGTTATAGGAGGAACCTTAAGTGTTCCTCTGCGCGCTGAAGGTCTTGTGCGTTGGGGCAGCATAGCAGGCTTATCTTAGCACGTCATGTGACTGTGCATTGGATTTTATACAGAGGAGCACAAGAACTGCATGCATAATGAGCACATGCATAGGTAGGCAGCGTCAGGGCCAAAGGAGAGCCTCAGTGCACGACAAATAAAATCCTTTTATTCTATTTTACTTCCTTCAACAGCGTTAAACGTATTTTAGAATGTAAACACCAATAAACAATCCAATCTTGTGGTGGTTTAAATAGCCTCCTAATTAATGTTATTTTTTGTCTTTAAGCAGCTTTTAAAAAAACAAATACAAAACGTCCTTTAACGCCAGAGTAATAAATAAATAAAGTTTTTAGGGGACTGCATGTGTGGAGCGCGTCTCTGCTGCCACTTTTACTAATGGAGACAAAGAAAAATGATGCCTACTTCTCTATATCATTGAATTCAGTTGCTAAGCAACTAGTATGGCAAATCATCCGCGAAATTCAAATCCTGCAGCGAGAGGACACGTTTAGTGAGTTTTGCTGAATAGGCGAGCGAGACAACTCGAGAAAAAAAAAAAAAAGTTTCAAACCCAAGGAACACATTTTTTGCCTTTTGCAGCCGAGAATACAGCAGAGAGGAGAGAGAAGAAGAAAAAAAAAACCCTGCCTGCGTCGTTTAGAGTTAGGAAATTAAATATTACATGTACACAGCAGCGGGCGCATCGTCACCTCGCTGGTGGAGTTTGGATACCATTTTGCGTAAAAATACGCAGATTGCGGCTCCGTCAAGAAGCCTCCCAGTAACAACCACACTTCATATTAATTTGCAGCACTCAAACCCCCTTTTCGCTGCTTCATCCTCAGTAAAGCTGAGCCTGTGGGGCTGCTCAGCTTTTTTTTTTTTTTTGGACAGACACAATCAATAAGCTGTGTGACCCAGTGCCCCGGATCCTAAAACAACATGTCAGCTCACCAACCGAAGAAGCTTTTTTTTTTTTTTTAAACACACACCTGGAGTCGGTTTGCTTCTTCTCCTGCATTCAAACACTGTTTTTGCATTCACTCAGAGCAGCCACGGTTTCACAATTAGTCTGCAGATACATTTCTTTTTTTTTTGTGCGTGTTGGCACCAGAGAGGAGCGCACGAACGCGGCGCTCGTAAAGCAGGTCAGTAATTATGCTAAATATGTGTTTATCTGTATTATGTGTCTGGACTATAAGCTGCAGCGTAAATATTACATAACATACACTCAGGACATGACAGAGGCTCCCATATATCAACCCTCTCCCACAACATGGACGCGGCTTTAAGAAACGTTCCCTATTTTTTTTTCTCCCCTCCACAGAATATAAATTTTCCATCCTGCAGCAGGCTTTTTTTTTTCTTTTTTACCCCAAGGCCTGAAGAGGCAGCAGATGTAAACAAACAGACGAACCATTGTGTGCAAAGGCCTGCAAGTGACCGCGATGTTTCATTTAAATGGTAATACACAGTTATGGGATGATGATAAGAGCACTGGTGAAGCTTTTCCATAATAGCACGCCTGCTTGTTTTTTTCCCTTTTTAAATATATTTCCAGCAAATAAATAAAAATCTTTTAATTTGAAAAGGTGCTTTGTTCTAATGGAGATTATTATTAGCTCGCAGCTTCATGTGGGACAACACAGTCCTCCATTTTCTTCATTAGCTTCAGCTGCTGCATGCAAAAAAAAATAATACACACACACTAAACCCCCTCTTTAGAATAGAAAATAATAAACGTAGGATATAAATTCCAAAACACAAGATGACTGCATTTCATTCTAACAAATTTATTGTGTCTCAATCAGCTCGTACGGAACCACTACTGAAATTAAATTACAATCAAATTATCACATCAAAATATACCCTTATTACCTAACAACGGTCAGCTTATGGTGATTTGTGCTCCTTTAGAAACGATAATACAAAAAAAAAAACAAATAAGGGCAGCAACAAAAAAAAAATAATATAAGAAAAAAAAAAAGAAAAATTAAAACAAGAAGAGGAGAAAAGCATCTTACACAAGTTCCTGGAGGGAGGAGGGAAAAAAATAAATTACCGTTTGGAATAATTCATATGTATTCCGAATAAAATATTAAAACAAGTCATTTTGATGAAAAATATAAAGTAAATAACTCAGATCAGTATCTGATCTAGTGATCTATATTGCCGGCTTTACAGAGTTTTTTTTTTTTTTTTGTTTATTAAAACCTACCAAAGAATACTGCTTACAAAGGGCAGCATTAATAGTATATCCACAGCACCCACTCAGTCACACTTGGCAACAGATTTTCAGAATTTTTTTTTCCTTTTCTCAAATAAGTGCAGCTGAAAAGTCTTTTTCAAATGTCTTATGCTCTATTTGTTGGAAAAAAAAACAAAAAAAAGGTAAGGAAAAATCCACTCACGGTGTCAATGTCCATTAAATAATAATAATAATAAAAAACCCCACGTGAAAGAAAGATCTTTGAGATCAGGAGAGGAGTGTGGAGGGTTGTGTAGGGTGGAGGGGGGGACAAGTCCTGGTCCTGCTTGTCTTTTCTTTCTGGGCTCATGAGGGCCTCAAAGATGAGAGAGAGAGGGTGGGGGGGGAGAAGAAAAAAAAATCCCTAATCCTCCGCGTGTGTGTGTGTAAATGAAACCATGCAGTCCACCTCAGAGAAATTTTTGCTGTAAATCATGATGGAAGCTTCGTGGATGTCACTCTTCTTCATATTGTTGCAGTTTTGTCCCCTCTTGTTATTGTTGGGCATGAAGAAGAGGGAGTTGGAGGGCTGGTGGTGGTGAGGGGGGGGGCGGTTCAGTCCCATTTCTAAATATACAAAATGCCTGCTCCTTTGTTTCTTCAATCAAACACAGGATAATGAAGGGGGGGGGGATCGTTTTTTTTTTCTTTTGCAAGAAGAAGGAAGGGGGGTAAGAGAAAAAAAAAGATAAAAACAATACTTGGTTTTCCTCTTGGTGTGTCTCAATGCGCCAAAATTACCTGGTGGAATGAACTTGTAGTTGTCACCCTCTGGTCGCTCGCTTCACTTGCATCTTTTAAGTAATCTACTAAAAAATGCCCCTGAAAGAAAAAAGCAGAAGGAACCTTTTAGGTTAAGACATTTGTAGGGCCTGGAAGAAGGTGCGTTTGTTTTTGTTTTTTTGCTGAGGGGGGATTTGGGAGGAAAAATGAGGAGAAGGGGGGGAGAAGGTTTTTGTTTTTGTTTTTTCTGGTGAAAAATAGATAACACATTTGCAGTCTCATTCATATTCCCTCACAATCACAGTATCAAAAAATTGTTTTTTTTGGCTATCCTGGCGATAGTCTGTGTGTTCTGTTTTAATCAGTTTAATTCTCATATAAAATATTCTGGTGTGCTGTTCTATGTTTCACTGAACATTCTTTTGCAGTCCATGGAGGGGGGCGGTGTTTCTGCACTCACATTGCCGACCTGAGAGTACACATCCTCCGGCGTCTGTGCCACTCCTGGGGGCGTCATCCGTTTTTCCTTCTGTCTCCTATTGCAAAACCACACTCTAACCACCTCTTTCTCCAGCTGCAAGTTGTCCGCCAGGGAGCTGATCTCCTGGGCCGAGGGCTTGGGGCATTTTAGGAAGTGGCTCTCCAAAGCCCCCTTGACGCTCACTTCGATGGATGTGCGCTTCTTTCGCTTCCTTCCTTGCGCCGCGATCTTGTCGATGCTGGTGGGGCTGCCGGTGGACGAGTCGGCCTCCTCAAGCCACTTGTTTAACAAAGGCTTGAGCTTGCACATGTTTTTGAAGCTGAGCTGCAGAGCCTCGAATCTGCAGATGGTTGTCTGAGAGAAAACGTTCCCGTACAGGGTGCCCAGAGCCAAGCCGACGTCCGCCTGCGTAAAGCCCAGTTTGATCCTCCGCTGTTTGAACTGCTTGGCGAACTGCTCCAGGTCGTCCGAGGTCGGCGTGTCGTCGTCCGAGTGCGGGTCGTGGCTGTTGACGCCGCCGTGGTGCTGGTGATGCGGATGCTGGTGGTGATGGTGGTGGTGGTGGCTGCCGTGGTCCAGATCCGGGGTGTCTCCTCTCACCAGTGCCGGGTGCACCAGGCTCTGGCTCCCCGGACTCAGCATCCCGTTCACAGTGAACCCTCCCGGCTGGGAGTAGATCAGCGACTGCTGCTGCTGCTGCCCCCCGGATATGGAGTTAATGTGCGCCGCAGTCGTGCTCCCCCAAGCCCCGGCGTGAGTCTGATGGGGAGCTAAGTGAGGGGGCCTGTGGTGCAGCGCGGTGCCCGTGTGCAGATCGTCTCTGCCGGAGTTTTTCACGTCCTGCTGCTGCGGGCTGCCCGTCATCCCAACGGGACTCGACGACCAAGGCGATCCGGCTTCAGCTGCTGCGACCGCGGCTGCTGCTGCGGCCGCTGCGGCGTGCGGGAGGGATGTCACCCACTGATGGGCATGGCTCAGCATGTGTCCCCCGTTGCTCGCTGCCATTGCGCCTTGCATAAAGTCACTCTGTACCATCTTGACTGAGGGGTCTCCCCTGTAGCCCCCAGACCCGGAGGTAACCGCAGCGCTGCCCGGCTGCATGCCACCACCCCCGGAGTCAGAGTGCACGATGGAGCCGGACGATAAGATGCTATTGCTGGGTAGATAAGGATTGGAAGCCGCGGTGGCCATTCCGTCAACCCTTATGAATATGTTTGTGGATAACCCCCCTCCCTTTTTACAGTCACTTCTTTCGAGCAGGCAAATTGTATCTCATGAATTATTCAAACTTTAAAAGTATGGGGTAGGTTTTTGGCAAATACCATCGACGTGCGTAAAAACGCAAAAAAAAAAAAAAAAAAAAAAAAATCTTCAAAAACGGTGACAGAAAACTGAATAAAATCCGCATGTATTTACAACATTCTAGTTGAGACACTTCTGCGTGGATATCGGCGAATAAAATCCCAGGTTTTCAAAAGCCCTTTGAAACCATGTGCAGTCCGTTTTGAAAGTTTTGCACTGGGATGAGGATAGCGAGCATTAAAATTCAAATATACAGGAAAAAAGCGCTGTCCCAAACAAACTTTTGGTGGTCGCAAAAAACAAAAAGCCTTGCAAATTCTCCACAATGTACAAAGTCCCAGTTTATGTCCCCTTTGGATGTGAAAAACATTAGCAGAGTGTCCTTAGTTCTTTTGTAATTCAGTCGCCGAGATTTCTCCCTCGCTTTATTCTTTTCTCTCTCTTCTTTTATAGCACTGTAGAGCCTATCTCTTTGTTCTGTTTTGATGTATATAAACCTGCCAAACCGCAAACTCCCGTTGAAGTACAATCCAGTATAACAGTGTACGGCGCTGCTTGCAAGCCTCTTCTCTCATTCGCTTGTTCTCTCTCTCCACCTCTCTCTCTCTATATCGCTCTCTCGCTCTCTCTCTCTCCCTGACAGACCGTGTAGTCCCGCCCCCCTTCCCCAGCCAGAGGACGCGATGTTTACCCCGTGCGTCCCCATTGATTGGTTACCCGGGGTGTGATTGGCAGCTCTCGCCAGCCTTGCTCCGGGCGCACGAGCCCTCCTTCCGGCTGTTCCAATTGGCTGATTTTTAATTGCAGTCCAAACAAAACGGTGGAATACAACTTGGTAGTAAATAGTACTGAGATACTAGTACACAAACAGGGGTGACGGGGGTAAATAAAAAAAAAAAGGTCGATAAACTGTAACCTCTAGTTTGTCATGATCTAAACCACCATAAAGATTGCTCTTTTCTCAAAATTTATGCTTTCTAGTATCATAAAATAGAAGTAAATCTGTTTGAAAACACATATTTTCATGTTGTAATGATGTATAGCAGCTTAAGTAGATGCGTAAAACGTGCGTAAAACGTGCGTAAAACCTACCCAAGTGCTTTTATATTTAGTTTGCCCTTCTTATATCCACAACTGCTTAAGATTTTATTTAAAACAAGCACTACAACACCTATTAGTAGCAATTACAATTATCTAGTAGTCTGACCTGACTGTGATAGAATACTGCCACAGTTAGGGGTTCAGGTCTCCCTTGGAGGAAGATTGGAAATACTTGGGGGGGAAAGAAAAAGAAAGCTCATTTAGTGGTGCACTCTTTTTCTTGTGCTCCAAATCCACATGTCAAAACAAGGTGCAAAGTGTGTTCAAATTGAAAGATGAACAATTTGGCGAAGTTTTTGTGAGCATCTAAAGTAGAAAAAAATCTATTCCAGGGTTGTGATTTTTTTTTCTTTTTTAAATTCTGCAAGAGCTACATCCTGCAACCTAAATCGAAATAAAAAAAAGTCAATTTAATGGACCTCAGAGCGGCGTGTACACATGTAAAACATGCCAGAGAGGGAGAACAGTCATGATGTGGGTGCTGAAACAGCCAGCCCCTTGCGCCTCGGCTCCTCAGGAGTTAACGCACAAAGGTTGCGGGAATGCTTCCATGCGGAAACGCCGCGCACAGGCAACCTCAGTGAAGCACAGTGAAAGAGAAAGTGGCAACCAAAACAAGGGCAAATTGAGCAGTCCTTGGGGGATTTGGGTGTGCGGGGCGGCGGTGCTGGGAATCTGCTTTAAAAAAAAAAAAATCCAGAGATATAGCCTTTAAAATGCGCACCATCCCTCAAGATGACCACATCACCCCAGAGATGAATGGGGCCTTTGTTCGTGTGTGGGACCCCTGCGCCTATGGACGCACCCATGGGTGGTAATAAGTTACAGATATACAGCTCCCACTGCACCCGAGTTTAGGGTGTCCGCAGTCTGCTGAGTCCACCTGGCCAGAGCGAGGCCTGTGGCAGGTGATTCTAACACCGGATTAACGATATCTTGTACGCAGGTTAGAGCAGCATGTCACGCCTTAACCCCCAACACTGCCTCATAAGCCCCCCAAATCAAAGATGACGCACAGACTTTTATTGCAAATGGGATTTAAGAGCAAATATAAGGCAGTGGAGTAGCTGTGCACCAGGCTGTGTACTCCATGCCAGTGTGCCCCCCCCTCCTCCTTTCCTTCTTCTCATCCCAGTAGATTTAATTTGGACTGGGCTCAAAACCGAGGGAGCCTCGTGGATTTGTTTACATTGAATAGGCAGGCTAGGGGCCAGAGCCATGGGGCCCTCTATTCATTAATATACAGTGAGGATTTCTGTCTAAATTACTGCTGTTCAATCCACACTGCACGCTTTGAAAAGGGCGTCTCAGGCGGCCAGCAGAAACGTGACACCAAGCGTGCATATGCAGAGAAGAGGGCTCCTCACGCAAGACAAGCCCTCAAAAATAGAAAAATATACAATATATATGAAAGGAGAGTCAAAAGCCATTTCACAAATGTTCCCTGAAATCACGGCGCGGCGATAAAGGAAGAAAAAAAACCAACTCTCTCTGATATATGATGTGTTTATTATTTATTTGCTTATTATAAAAGGTCCCCAAGTTCCCTGCTGGGGGAGTTCATTTATTTTGTATGCAAAAAAAAAAAAAAAAAAAAAAAAAAAAAAAAGGAAAGAAAGAAAGGGGGGAGAGGAAAAAAAATCATCCCCAAGTATAACAAGAGACGAACAGTTAGTGCTGATTTTCATTTGCATAAATTTTCATATATTTTAGTGAAAATAATAGCGGGAGCCGAGGAGTGCTCCTGCTCAGTTGAGGCAGAGGAAAGAAAATCTTAGGGAGCACCGAGTCGTAGGAAAGGGAGATAACCATTTACAGGCTCCGAATGAACAATGTGAAGTTATTTCCCCCCTTTTCTCGGACACAAGGTAAGTCAACAATTATCTATGCGGGTTTCTTTTTTACGCTTGAGGAATGTTACGAGTTTTTATCGCGCATTGCTCCACTGTGGCGCTACTACGCTTCCTTATGGACTGCTGCTTTAAAACGACATTTCAGCCTACTTGTGCGCCGATGTGCAGTCGTATTCTTTTAGATTTATATATATATATAAATATTAAAAAAAAAATAGCAAATGCGTGTCCTTTTCCCTTTTCTCCCGAATGCGTAAAAATCAATACGCGCGTCGCTGTTTGCGTTTTTGCGCCCCAGCCTCCCTTTTTTTTTTTTTCTTGCTTTTTATATAAATAGCGGGCAGATGGATAAGCTGTGCTGTTTTGTAGTGAATGTCCACCGGAGAAAAGTGCAATCAATCACATTTTAAGCAGGGAAGAGAGAAAGAGAAGGGGGGAGTGTTTGAGAGAGAGAGAGAGAGAGTGAGAGTGAGAGAGAGAGAGAGAGGGAGAGAGAGAGACCCCTCGGTTGAATCCTCCAGAGGGATCGCGTAGGCAAGTGCAATATGAAATCGTTTAATATAAATCGATCTCGCTGCTGCAAAGTTTGTTTAAAGTTTATGCGCAGCAGCCTGCCGACCACAGCTTGCCACGAAACTGCACTCATCAAGCCAGACAAAGCTTATGATTACTTATAAATAGCTTGGATTTTTTTTTTTTTAATGAATGCAGACCGGTTTGCTCTTTCTATTTTGTTTTGGAGCTCTTCCAAGGAGCGAGGAAATGTCAAGATAACTTTCAAAAAAAAAGAAAGAAAGAAAGGACACTTTTTCTTTTCTAAAAGATGCAAAAAAAAAAAAAGGTCCGGTCACAGGAAATTATTTAGCAACAGCAGAGACATCATGATCTCGTAAGATTTCATTTCAGCGCCTGTGACAACTTTCTGCTGCATTATTTTTTGAAAGCTCCTCACGGAGGATCTGACAAACATTAACTCGAATTTGAAGGAGGAAAAAAGTCGTGCAGTTTGCGCTATACTCTGCTGAGAGTTAGGGTTTTTTTTTTTCTTTCTTTCTCACGGGTTAACTCTTTTTCCTTCATTGATGGGGAGTGCATTTCTGAGCCCAGCACTTGGTAGCCATGGTGAGCCCAATAAAAGAGGGAAACACTAGTCGCATTAAGCTGTATGTTTGTGCACTGGAGTTGAGATGAAAAGAGCCTCGGTGTCCCGGGCCAGCAGAAGCAGAAGCAGCAGAAGCAGCAGAAGCACCGGTGCTGGACGGGTAACGCGTTACAGTAACGCCATTACTCTGTAGAAATAAAAAAGCTCATTATCCCTAAAATCAACCAAGCTGCGCCCTTGGTGTGAACTTGGGTTAGTTTGCCTCATAATGTACATTAAGGATTAAAGTTAGTCTATATTTATGAATTTGGGGTTTATTAATCCAAATCATGACTTTTTTTAGTGACTAAACTCGAGAATCAGAGAACCTATCGCGATACTAAAAAGCTGAAACTGCCATTTTATGGTGCGTAAAAGCAAAGTAACTTCTTATACATCTTTTTTTTAATTATTTTGTCTGGGATATTAGAGAAGCCTACACATGTCAGGGTTTGCTGGCGCTGCTTCAGTGAAGGCTGAGGTGGCATCCATGCATTGTTGGCTTTATCAGAAATGTAAAGAAAATCACAAGTGCCGCCAGGTGTCGCGCTCCCTCATGGTGCAAATATGTAAAGCTTACACTGCAAAAAAAAGGCACATTTCTGAATCATTCTATATTTTTTTCTAATTACAATTAGTTTATTTAGTTATTTTACAAACTAAAAAGCAGATTGAGACACTGATGCTGCGTGGAAACAACGTTTTTACTTCTGCTTTACTTTAAAGAAAACCATTTGGTGTGGTAGTAAATGTCGCTGGAAGCGTTTGAAGCTGTCTCGCTTTGGGATGCACTTTTTTTTTTTTTTTAAGAGTCTGAACACTGCCTCAAACTCATGAAATCGTATAATTTTGCAGTGCATGCGTGCGTTGCAAAGACACG